CCACGAATCCTTAGACTCCTAGAAATTGTGTTAAAAACTGTAGATATTATTCATTCATTTAAGGAAAGGTTCAACACATTAGCGTGATTTTAAGAATCCTAAAACTCATTTATTTTGACAAAAAGCGTCTATGTATTCATGTGTTTAAATACCTATATTATCTTTATTCCAGGGAGTAATGCATATTCAAAAAGAGACAGAGCATCAGCGTCAAATTACCGGCCGATTAGTTTGACGTCAGTAGTGGGGAAATTTCTTGAATTAATTATGGCAAATAGCATCCGATCGCATTTAGAGGAAAACAAATTAATCTACGACTCTCAACGTGAGTTTACAAAGGGAAAATCTTGTCTAACAAATCTGCCGATGTTTTTTTTAAGAAAGTTTATGATAATGACGAAAATTACGATGTTATTTACTTAGACTTTAGCAAAGCGTTTGACAGGGTACCGCATCAGGCGCTTCTGAGAAAAGTTAAGGCTCATGGTATTGAAGGGAAGTTTTAAATTTTATAAAATCATGGCTCACCGATAGAACAGAGGGTCAGCGTACATGGTTTTAAATCTGAGTGGGGCTGTGTAACTAGTGGGGTTCACCAGGGGTCAGTACTGGGCCCACTCTTGTTCATATCTACAGAAACGATCTAGATACTGGGATCAGCAGTGACATAAGCAAGTTTGCAGATGACACCAAAATAGGGCAGCAGATTAATTCAAGGCAGGATGCAAATGCACTACAGCAGAATTTAAATAAACTGCAGGAGTGGTCAGAAAAATGGCAAGTGAAATTCAACACCAGCAAGTGCAGCGTACTTAATATTGGAAGAACAAATTCTGTCAATGTATACAGCCTTAACAACATCAAACTAGAGAAGTCGACTTGTGAAAGAGACCTAGCGGTACTCGTAAGCCCGGACCTACGGCCTAGAAAACAGTGCGTTAATGTTCGAAATAAGGCAAACAGATTATTAGGTTTTATATCCAGAAGTGTAAGTAATAAGAGTGCAGAGGTCTTATTGCAATTATATCTTGCGCTAGTCAGGCCGTACCTCGATTATGCTGTTCAGTTCTGGTGCCCTTATTATAGAATGGACAAGTGATCGCGAGCCCTTCGTGCTTGGTTCGCCGTCCGACTGACAGCGTACAGCGAATGAGGGTGCGCCAAGTCCGTAGACTTGCATCGTTTTCCAGCATTAATAAAATGGTTAATTAATGCCTTCCTAAAGAAACCATCGACATGGGACCAGGTTTGTTCCACTCTACGAATTTTTTGCAATTTTTCCACTAAGTTTGATGAAAAACGATTGTGCCGTTTCGGCTGCCCAGAACAAACAGACAGACAGACAGCTAGTCCTATAGTAGATCAGATATCAATTCACTGGAGTCAGTGCAGCGAAGAATGACGAAAATGATTACGGGACTTAGAAACCTTCCCTCTCAAGATTGATTAAAGAAACTAAAGCTCCATTCCTAGAGAGACGAAGAGTGCAGGGAGATATGATAGAAGAATTTAAGTGGATGAAAGGAATCAATAAAGGAGAAATAGATAAAGTTCTTACAATATCCAAGCAGGATAGGACTCGTAGCAAAGTATTTAAATTGGATAAGTTTAGGAGGGAGATAGGAAGAAACTGGTTCACAAATAGGGTGGTAGATGAGTGGAACAAGCTCAGCAACTTTGTATTAAGTGCTGGAACGCTGGAAAGTTTTAAAATGAGGCTAGATAGATTCATGGATGATAGAGGGTGGTTGTAACTCCCGACAGGAGCTGTCATGCACAGACCAACAGGCCTATTGCAGACTCCTTATTTTCTTATGTGTCTGTAAGTGTTGTTCACGAATTGCAAGTAAGGTCGTACACTGCATCCTCTCTCTCTCTCGTGTGTGTGTGTGTGTGTGTGTGTTTTACAGTATTTAAACTTGCTGTAAAATATATTCATAATGACTCCTCCCTCCTGCCGTATTATGATGGTCACACGGTCAAAGGTCAAGGTCACAGCTTTGAAAGAGACACCTGCCTGCCTGCCTGCCCTGGATTTTTCAGAGGAGCGGTGGCCTAGGCCCTAGTGGATCCAGTTGAGAGTTAGCGCTCTTGAGGTATTTATCCCCCCCTCCCCAGTTGACCCAGCTGTTAATGGGTACCTAACTTTGCCAGGTAGGGGAGGTAAAGGTGGCCGAATAGTGCCCATCATGCTGCTTCCTTATCTCAATAAACGTATCAATCAATCATGCTGCTTCCTTCTGTACCGAAAAAAATTTAGTATCCAGTCCGCTGTATCATAAATTGTAAGGCTCTAATAGTTAAATTGATAAAAAATAAATTGATTATTAAAAAAAAATAGGAAAACTTTGTGTAGGATCCAGGGAATTGTGGGTAAAACAGAACTGGAGTGACAGCCTCACCCCAGAGGCCCCGGCTGTGGCTTCTAGGTATTGGTGTCGTAAATAAGGAACCGATTAATGGGAAAACGAAGTGTGGGTGAATAGTGTCTCGTTGTTCTCGATGATGGTGAGAGACGTTCCTTTGTCTTCACTTTCACGCCCTGTGTGTTCATGTTTATTGTCTTTGGAAGGTAATAGTCCAGTCCAGTGTGTGTGTGTGTGTGTGTGTGTGTGTGTGTGCGCGCGCGCCTGTAACCGTGAAAATTTTCCTAATGTGATTGAATAATGTTCACAGCGGGTTAACAATAACATGGGAAGCGGAAGCACGCACACACACACACACACACACACACAGTTAATTAGCTAAAGAGTTAAACAATAGCACAAAAATATAGACGATGTGTTTTATAGGCACTCAACACAGCAAAATACTTCAGTTACCATTTAGTGTTTTAACCTGTATATATTGTGTATGTTGGTGATGCTGGGGACGTCTTTTATTCCCTTGAGTATAATATTTTTTTTAATGTGAAAGTTTATTATTGCCATTATTACAGCATTCATTATTATTATTATTATTATTATTATTATTATTATTATTATTGTTATTATTTTATTATTATCATTATTGTTAGAAGTAGTAATAGTAATAGCAGTGTATTTGCTTGAAACAAGGCTAACAAAGTACTTAGGTTCATACAAAGGAATGTTAGTGACAAGACTAGCGAAGTTATCCTAAAACTATATCTTGCGCTTGTGAGACCACACTTGGATTACACAGTTCAGTTCTGGTCACCGTACTACAGAATGGATATAGAATCCCTTGAAAGACTTGAGAGGAGAATGACAAGAATAATCCCGGGCATTAGGAACCTTGAGTACAGAGACAGGTTAAAGCTTCTTAATTTGCACTCCCTCGAGAGACGTAGTGTGTAGGGGCGATATGATCGAGGTGTACAAGTGGAATTCAGGGTTAACAAAGGTGGTATAACAAAGGTACTCAAACTATCCAACGAGGAGCGAATTCGTAGCGACGGATCTAAATTAGACAAATTTAGATTTAGGCGCGAGAGGTAAACATTGGATTGGAAATAGTAGTGGATGAGTGGAACAAGTTACCAAACATCATTATTAACTCGAATACGCTGGATAGCTTCAAACGTAGGTTGGATGAATATATGAGCAATAGGGGTTGGGTGTAAACCAGACTGCCCAGTATGGGCCAATAGGCCCGCTGCAGCTTCCTCCATTCTTATGTTAGTAATAGTAGTAGTAGTAGTAGTATCGTTGCCATCATCACGGGGGGGCAGTGTTGGCCGTGTTATCAATGCCAGCTGGTTCTACCGTTAGATGCCCGCCATTACAAGAGTTTGCTTCAGTCGCCCTGTGTGTGTGTGTGTGTGTGTGTGTGTGTGTTATACAGCTCAGTTCTGTTCAGTTGATTATGTTTCGACAGTGATATAGTCATTATTTACAAGACAATGATAACATAATACAGACTAATCCATGGCTCGCGTGTGGACAACATGACTCGTGTAAAAATACTGATATTACAGATGATTTATCATGTGGTGTTTAATACTGTAACATGCTGTAACGTCTGTATTACTGTAACATGCTGTAACGTCACCAGATGGTCTAGAAGCATCCACCCGCTCCCTTCTGTAGTAACACGTGTCAATACTTAACACCAGAAGCTAACACCTGTACTGTGCGACACCTTTTAATAATTACTGAATTATCTATTACTTAGAGACTTGCATAATCACCAGTTTCATAGCATCAAATATGAGAAGTATAATCCCTAAAGGCATAAATTCCTTATTTTAAACTTCGGTCACACCGAATACTGTGACGAGGACTGGAGGCCGCGGGATGGGGACTACTGGTGTATGGTACAAACTAGCTGACAATTGTATGAAGTTAGGACACACTAGGACAGCTACAGAGCGCGCGCTCTCTCTCTCTCTCTCTCTCTCTCTCTCTCTCTCTCTCTCTCCACAGTTTTTATCAAAGCCTGTTTTTACGAAGCAGTTAACCTTACGATATATGAACGGTATCATCATGGTAGATAAAGTTTAAGTCAAGTCTCCCACACGTCGTTAATATTATTCTCTACGTTTTTATCGCGCTCTAGTTTAATGTTCTTCACCGAAAATTTTATATATATATATATATATATATATATATATATATATATATATATATATATATATATATATATATATATATATATATATATATAAAATATTTCATGGTAATGTTTTATGTACACGATATTTATGGTGATTAGGGCCGGTACTACGTTGTCAGGCACATCGTGCGCACGACAGGGTTGCTTCAGCTGCCGGCCGCCAGTCGTCTGATGAGGTGTCGCAGGTTCCTCTCACACACACAACCAAAAAAAAAAAGAAGTCGAGAGCAAGAGGAGGGAGACGAGGGGTGACTTTACAAAAATAGGAAACGGAATTAAAAAAAATCTTGTACCGTCCAATACGTTTGTCAACCATTATTATTATATTATTATTATTATTATTATTATTATTATTATTATTATTTGTGTCAAGATAAATCATACGGAGGAGCAATAGAGACAGACGAAGTAATAAATGTACCCACCAGTATTATGTTGATCTGTGAGGCTGGCAGCACGGCAGGCACAGCTTCGTGTCAGTCTGAAATGAGGAAAAATATACCAATTAATAACGCCATTACATTACAAGCTGCATCTTTCCTGGTGTTTGTGTAGTGCTGCATGTAGTTTAACTGAAATGAATTATTATTAGCATTATTATTAGCATTATTATTATTATTATTATTATTATTATTATTAAAGAAACGTACTATAAGGAGGTAACAAAGGACATAGATAAAGAAAATATACAGAATCGTCTTGTTTTATCTTGGACAGATTTTGTGCAAGACTGCTGAGAAACCCGAGTTTAACGAGACGGGAACATGCACGGACAGACAGACTGACGGATACTGTTGACAAACTTGTGTCTGGACTGAAGTATATAAAAATGTCTCATGAACACGTGTTGGTGGTCGAGGTGATGCACAAATACCACGTACTGTATTGATAAAACCACGTACTGTACTGATAAAACCACGTACTGTATTGATAAAACCACATACAAATACCACGTACTGTATTGATAAAACCACGTACTGTACTGATAAAACCACGTACTGTACTGATAAAACCACATACAAATACCACGTACTGTATTGATAAAACCACGTGCAAATACCACGTACTGTATTCATAAAACCACGTACAGAGAGACTTTGCCGCCACCCTGCAAGAGGCGAATGGTTTAACACTGTCTTGGGCCAACTCATACAGTATAAGGCCTGAAGGAGTGTGTTCGTGAGTTCCACCACAATGTTCTAAAAAAAAACTTGCTGCTCCACACATACATACATACATACATACATACACACACACAACCACGTGGTGCACCGATGACATTTACCACCACTTCAACCATCACCACAGCCATCATCACCAGACCCACCACCATCACCACATCCACCATCACCAATGCAGTCACCACCACCAATATTACCAACACCACCCCCACCATTACCACCCCTACCACACACCCCCCTCATCACCACCACTCCCACTCATCACCACTCTCACTCATACCCTCTCTGCACTACATCACCATACTTTACACTACACCTCCAAGCGAGACCGAAGGAGGTTGATCAGATGACTTTATGATTATAGTACAGGAAATGGCGGCAGAGAGAGAGAGAGAGAGAGAGAGAGAGAGAGAGAGAGAGAGAGAGAGAGAGAGAGAGAGAGAGAGAGAGAGAGAGAGAGAGAGAGAGAGAGACACTGAAAGAAAATAAAAGATAGAACGTAGGAGAGGAAAGAGGAAGAGAAAGAGAAGAAGGGGATGAGAGAGAGAGAGAGAGAGAGAGAGAGAGAGAGAGAGAGAGGTGAAGTGAAGTGAGAAACTGATAGAAAAGGAGAAGGGATGAGAGAGAGAGAGAGAGAGAGAGAGAGAGAGAGAGTGTGTGTGTGTGTGTGTGTGGTTTCCATGTGTGTGTATACATGTGTATGTGTGTGTGTGTGTGTGCACATGCAAGTGTTTGCATGTGTATGTGTTTGCGTGTGTGTTTGCATGTGTGTGTGTAGTGAACTACAAGGCTGGAGCACTTTCACTATTCACGCAACATGGACTCCTCCTCTCTCCTCTCCTCTCTCCTCTCCTCTCCTTTACTAACCCTTAATTCCCTGCCTTATACTTTACCCCTTCTCCCTCCCCTCCCTCCTTCCCTCTTTTCTCTTCTCCCTCCAACACCTTCTCACTCCTTCCCTCTCTCTCCTCCCTCTCCGCCCTCCAGTACCTTTCACCTTCCCTCTCCTCTCCCTCCTCTTCTCTCTCCTCCAGTACTAATTCTTCCCTCCTTCCTCCTCCCCTCCTCCTCTTCTCTCCCTCCAGTGCCTTCACTTCTTTCCTCTCCTCCCTCCTCCTCCTCCTCTTCTCTCCCTCCAGTACCTTCACTCCTTCCCTCTCCTTCTCCCTCCTCTTCTCTCCCTCCAGTACCTTCACTCCTTCCCTCTCCTCCTCTCCTCTCCCTCCAGTACCTTCACTTCTTCCCTCTCTTCTTCTCCCTCCTCCTCTCCTTCCAATACCTCCACTCCTTCTCTCTTCGTCTCCCTCTCTTCTTCTCCTTCCTTCTCTCTTCAGTATCCCCCTCTTCCTTCTCTCTGCCTGGGTAAGATGGGTTCTAGAACCCTTATTGGAGGTAGTAAAGGTTCCAGTGCTATTAACCGTGATAGTGGAGGTTCTATTGTTATCCAGGAGTCTAGAACTCATCAAAGGTACTGTACTAGTACGATTATCAGCAACAGGAAAGGTTCTGGTACCGTTACTTTAAACAGGAAAGGTTCTGGTACCGTTACTTTAAACAGGAAAGGTTCTGGTACCGTTACTTTAAACAGGAAAGGTTCTGGTACCGTTACTTTAAACAGGAAAGGTTCTGGTACCGTTACTTTAAACAGGAAAGGATCTAGTGCTGTTACTTTAAACAGTAAAGGTTCTACTAGAGCTAGAAGGGGCCACAGGTTCTAGTACTGCCTCAGCTATGTTTTAGGAACTGGAAATACACACACACAGCTGTTTTCTTTCTCAACATGGGGGTCTCTCTCTCTCTCTCTCTCTCTCTCTCTCTCTCTCTCTCTAGATACAGGAGCGAGTGCTATACCTGGCTGTAATATAAAATAAGATGTTCCTGTACCCTATGTATTGTGGAGAACTGTAACTGGCCTGTACTTGGGTTGAGAGGGGAGGGGGGAGAGGGGCAAGGGAAGGAGGGAGTGAAGGGGGCTGAGAGGAGGGGAAAAGGGGTGAGGGGAGGGAAGGGGGGTTGAGAGGGAGGGAAAAGGGGTGGGGAGGGGAGGGAGGGAGGGAAGGGGTTGAGAGGGAGGGGAAGGGGGGTTGAGAGGGAGGAAAAGGGGGAGGGAGGGAAGGTGAGAGGGGAGGAGGGGAAGGGGGAGAGGAGGGGGGGGTGAGAGAGGAGGGAATGGGGGGTGAGAGAGGAGGAACGGGGGTGAGAGAGGAGGAGGGGGGTGAGAGAGGAGGAGAAGAGGGGGTAGAGAGGAGGGAAGGGGGTAGGGAGAGAAGGGGGGTGAGAGAGGGGGAGAGAGGGAGGAGAGAGGGGGAAGGGGGTGAGAGAGGAGGGATGGGGGGTGAGAGAGGAGAGAAGGGGGGTGAGAGAGGAGAGAAGGGGGGGTGGGAGAGAGGGAAGGGGGTGAGAGAGGAGGGAAGGGGTGAGAGAGGAGGAAGGGGGGGTGGAGGGGAGAGGGGGGAGAGGGGAGGGAAGGGGTAGGAGGAGAGGGAAGGGGGTGAGAGAGGAGGGAAGGGGGGTGAGGGAGGAGGGAAGGGGTGAGAGAGGAGGGAAGGGGGGTGAGAGGGAGGAAGGGGGAGGGAGGGAGGGAAGGGGTGAGGGGAGGGAAGGGGGTGAGAGGGGGGAAGAGAGGAGGGAAGGGGGTGAGAGGGGAGGGAAGGGGGGGAGAGGGGAGGAAGGGGGTGAGGGAGGGAAGGGGGAGGGGGGGAAGGGGAGGGAGGGGGTGAGAGGGGGGGTGAGAGGGGAGGAAGGGGGTGAGAGGGGAGGGAAGGGGTGAGAGGGGAGGGAAGAGGGAGAGGGGAGGGGTGAGGGGAGGGAGGTGAGAGGAAGGGGTGAGGGGGGTGAGAGGGGGGGGGAGGGAGGGAGGGGAGGGAAGGGGGTGAGAGGGGAGGGAAGGGGGGTGGAGAGGAGGGAAGGGGGCTGAGAGAGGAGGGAAGGGGGGGTGAGAGGAGGGAGGTGAGAGGGGAGGGAAGGGGGGTGGAGGGAGGAAGGGGGGTGAGGGAGGGAGGGGGTGAGGGAGGGAAGGGGGGGGTGAGAGGGGAGGGAAGGGGGTGAGAGGGGAGGAGGGGGGTGAGGGAGGAAGGGGGGTGAGAGGGGAGGGAAGGGGGTGAGAGGGAGGGAAGGGGTGAGGGGGAGGGAAGAGAGGGAGGGAAGGGGGGTGAGAGGAGGAAGGGGGGTGAGAGGGAGGGAAGGGTGGTGAGGGGGTGGGAGAGGGGGGAAGGGGGGTGAGAGGGGAGGGAAGGGGTGAGGAGGGGGAAGGGGGAGGGAGGGAGGGGGGTGGAGAGGGGAGGGAAGGGAGGGAGGGGGCAGGAGGGGAGAAGGGGGTGAGAGGGGAGGGAAGGGGGTGAGAGGGGAGGGAAGGGGGTGAGAGGGGAGGGAAGGGGGGAGAGGGGGGAGGAGGGAGGGAGGAAGGGGGGAGAGGGAGGGAAGGGGGTGAGAGGGAGGAAGGGGTGAGAGGGGAGGAAGGGGGTGAGAGGGAGGGGAAGGGGGGGAGAGGGGAGGGGAAGGGGGTGGGAGAGGGAGGGAAGGGGGTAGAGGGGAGGGAAGGGGGGGTGAGAGGAGGGAAGGGGGTGAGAGGGGAGGAAGGGGGGGGTGAGGAGGGGAGGGAAGGGGAGAGAGGGGAGGGAAGGGGGGTGAGAGGGGAGGGAAGGGGTGAGAGGGGAGGGAAGGGGGTGAGAGGGGAGGGAAGGGGTGAGAGGGAGAGGGGAGGAAGGGGGTGAGAGGGAGGAAGGGGGGTGAGAGGGGAGGGAAGGGGGTGAGAGGGGAGGGAAGGGGGGGGGGAGAGGGGGTGAGAGGGGAGGAAGGGGGGGAGGGGGGAGGAAGGGGTGGGAGAGGGGGGGGTGAGAGGGAGGGAAGGGGTGAGAGGGGAGGAGGGGGGGGAAGGGGGGTGAGAGGGGGGGAAGGGGGGGTGAGGGGAGGGAGGGGTGGGAGGGGGGAAGGGGTGGAGAGGGAGGGAAGGGGGTGAGAGGGGAGGAAGGGGGGTGAGAGGGGAGGGAAGGGGGTGGGGAACGGGAGTGAAGCTGCTGGGGTACGTGGTGATCAGAGGAGCTCTATGAGGAATTTAAATAAAAAAAGGGAAAGAAAGGAACGAAGAAAGGAGGAAAAGGGGAGGGGGAGAGAGGAGAAAAGAGGTTGGGGAAGGAAGGAAGAAGTGTTGATGGGAATGGGAAGAGGGGAAGAGAGGAGGAATGGGAGGAAGGGAAGGAGGAAATGATTGAAAGAAGAAGGGAAGTGAGGAGGGAAAGGAGAGGAAGGGTGAGGGGGAAGGGGACAAGAGGAGGGAAGGGGACAAGAGGGGAAGGGAGGG